CCACAAACATATTTAAATTGTTAACAAAAAAGTTTATCTATTAATATTAAATAATACATATATTTAAATTTCAAATATTGTATTTAAATATTTACTTATTCATTTCAAACTAGCGAGGACACATTAGACTGCGTCTTGTAAAAACTTATTCCTTAGCCTTAGGCGCTATGATCACGTTTAAAAGCAATATGTTCGACGAATGAACGACGTAGAAAGTTCACCGTTCGCGTACTTGGCAGCGCAATTGGAGATCCGGAAAAATTGCCGACCTACGTACGATCGTGGAAATCTCCGGCTCTTAAATTCGGATCGAGAAACTCGAGATAAGCGTCGCGATAAAGTATGAGCACAGAGACGAAACTCGAGAAGTAATAACTCCCTGAGGCGATCTCAATATTTGATTTCTATCGATGACACAAATGGGACGGGATTCTTGATAACATCGGCACGACACTACATTTTGCGAACGTATTTCTGGAACAAACATGTCGCCGTGTGTATCTCGTCGAAAAAGTAAGCATCCATCTTCGTATTCTGTTACGTCGATGAAGATCGCAGGGAAATATCGACGTGGAAAAATATGGTATTCCAATCGAAGAGTTCAAACACGAGGATACGCGCGATATTTCCCACGTAATTCTGTCTTGCACAGCACAATTTAACGACCATTATATTGAGAGCGCCGTAAGTCTAGTTTTAAAACATTACTTGTTTGATGAACGCGACTACAGATTGTGCGTTCGTTTTAACAAGATATTCGAAACTGTATCTACAACATCTTAAAAATAACAAATACACTGACAAAAAAATGTACTCAATTTTAATAAATATTTGTTCGAATAGTATTAAATATTCATTAAATATAAACATATATTTATTTGATACAAGAGAATTATTAATTTGATTAAAGTCATTTATAATTTCTTTTTATTGAGTAAATATTTATTTGCTGTAAGTAAATGTTTACTATTCAAATAAATATTTACTAAAATTTAGTTAATTTTTTCAGTGTACATTGATATCAAAAAAACAATGTTAATCAAATCTCTTGAATTAAATAACCTTTTATTATTTTTAACTTCCATGTATTAATCAAAATTTAAATCGATCCATTTCTGTGATAGAATTGTTTAATTTAGAAAAAAATAATCCACAATAAAAGTGTCCATATTAATGTATTTAGTAAATATAATAATAAATTAAATTTAAGTTAAATCGTTTTAGTTAAATTAACATATTGTAATTGAATGAACAATATGTGTTGAATAAAAGCAGTGACACTTAAGTGATTAAAAATAACTCATGACGTATTATGAGAGAATTTAACCCTTACCGTACTAATATGGGTAACTAGTAACCGAGCGATTCCTGTTCGTGCAAGTTTCTTTGATCTTTCGGTAATTATAAATTATACTACATTTTATTATTTTCCAAAATAAAGAGTCAATATTTAATCTAGAAAGTTAAAAGAATGGTGAATTTTTAGAGATTTTTTTATTATTTCGAAGAGGTGAAAAAACGAAGAGATTTGAAGTGACCCTTGATGGTATGAATGAGGCACCAAATTGTAGATGGTATGGTAAGGGTTAACAGTGCATAAAAATCTGCAAGTAATTCGTATCATCTTTCGCGTTTTATATTAAATTTGAATTCATTCCGTGGCTTTTTGCTTTTCCAAAATCTCAAGAGTTGCGGACCGCGCATCTTATTACATCCCCTCGCAGCCAATTTTGCGTGCTGCACCCACGATTATATCTCTCGACGAGGATAGGGCGACGCCTCGCAAAAATATTATATCGGGTATCGATACGTGGCACAATCAGATAAGGACTCTCAGAGGGGTCCCGCTGACTCGGTCGTTTCTCGTCGCGATGGAATCGCGGTCCGCTTTTATTTTCACAGCCAAGTATTTCGATGACTCAACCGCTAGACGAACATTCTCATCGGAGGACGAGATCGTTGTCGGCGCCGTCGTCCTCATTCGTTCTCTCTTGTTGGAGAGAGAAACGATACTTAAGATGATCGTGACCACAAGGAATTCCTAGAACGTTCCCGAGGTGAGGAAGTAGATCTTCTTGGCACAGATTGGCGATTTGGACAACGCGATTGGACAATGACCCTGTTTGTCTCGAAATTGTATTGTCTTGAATTGCTTCTCAACAAAGAGTCACTTTTATTGTTTAGGCTTTGAAATAGTTTTTAATGATAGGGAACGATTTATGTATATAATATAAATTATTACATTAAGAATAATAAAAATTAATAATTTAATAATCATAATAATAAATATATATAGGATTATTTTCTAGAGAATCTAGTTTCAATAATAAGTATATTATTTTTTAAAGTTTGCGAAACTAAAGCTTTATTATAGCGCCACTACTTAAAATTTTTTATTATCTGTAATAAATAATAATCTGTTTTTTACGATGAAGATATTTTTATTAATATATTTTAAAAAATATTGGAGATATTAATATCAAAGTAAAATAAAAATAATAAACCGTCAATCCAGAAATCTTAATCTTGGCAGTTTAAAATGATTATAAACTGTGTTATTCTCTGTTATAATATGGAAATAAATGATATGTAAACTAAGAAAGATGATTTCGTAATTGGTATGTTGAAAGATGCGATGCTTCGGCATTAACTGAAAATTTGTGAACTGAAAATATCGTTTAATTCGATGTTACGTAACGCGGGGGAATTCGATTTACCGCGAGCGAATATTTACGAACACGTACGGCGTTTATCCACGTGGCATCGAGCAGCAACCTCGATAGCGATGTGGCTGCAGCGAATTATGCACGCGCGGGCAGACGATGAGATCGCATCGCAGCGAGCTCGCCCGAAATTGATGCGCGATAATAATACGATCAGGTGGAAAATCGAGCCTCGACAATTGTGTGCTAAGCGTGCTGTTGGTCGATAACGTGTCGCGAGATTCCGTAGAAACGATAGCGAAGTGATGATAATAGGGACTAATAAGCAGTCGGGGAAAATGCTGATCAAACAAAAAGAATATACACATTTATGTCGTATGTATAATAACCATTTACTGGATATTCCCAAAAGAGTTTTGTTTAAATCTTACGTTTTTTTTTTATTTATCTATATTTATCTTTGCGAAGGATTGAAAGATAAATGGATTTTTAATGTAAATTTGTTATCTTTTTTTCGAACAATTTTTGAAACAAATTTAAGAATAATATCAGTAATATTAAAATAGTATATCAGTAGTATTTTCGAATATAACAGGTTCAAGATATTTTTTTTGGAATGCTAAAAGTTACTGTGTGTATTTTCCTTATATTGAAAACAAACGATATACCTGTTACACAAAACCAATATTTTTATTGTACTTTTCTGCAAGCATCAGGTGTACAAAGAGATTTCATACTAGAACGAATCCATGCGAAACTCAAAAGCAGTAACACTCTAAGCGATAAAATTGCGCAACGCAATAAAATTTCCATCTCAGAGATCTGCAGCTTCACTTAATAGTTAAAGACATTTAATAGTTACAAACTTAAGAATGAAGATGTAAGATTTTTACAAGAAACTGCGCATTTCTGTCTTTAACCATGTCGAGCGAATAGGTCACAAATACAATTTTATCGCTTCTTCTTGTCCTTCTTGGAAACGTACAAAACGCGCTCGACAAGTCTAAGAAAGCGAAAAAAAAGCGAAAAGTGTCAATTGAAAATTGTGCATTGACTGTATATTACCTCTATAATGAACCTTTTAAAAGAGAGCTTTATTTTGCGGGTCGCAATTTACCGAGAAACAAAACTACGTATCGATAACGTTATGAGATATAGTTCAGAGTTTAGGTCTTCATGATCGCCTCGATCGCCGTAAATTTCATGTTGCGTTGCTTGAAACAGATCGTAACACTGGCGTAACTTTTTTTCTTTTTGTTAAATCTGTGCCAAGCACCTTCGAGCAACGAGCACGGTTCTATCGCGCAATCTATTTCCGAGTTAATTACCGGCGAAATAAAGAAGTAGGTCGGGCTGTCCTACAATGAGTACAGAATATCGCGCAGGAAAATTGCGATAACGAGCCGCCGAATTTAATTCGAGTCCAGGTCCACAGCGCAAACATTTTTATGACCGTGGATGTAATATACGTAATTAAATGCAGTAATTAACCATACTTTTGTATTTAATATTTTTACATGTGTACTTTGAAACTAGCGAGTATAATTTTTTTTCAACTAATTTCAAGTTTAAGTCTTTATGAGAAGGAAATTACGTTTGTGTGTGCACGGACATTTGTATTAATTAAGGTAATGAGAACATTTTCCGTTTTAACGTGTAAAAACATAAATAAGACCGGGACCAAAAATCTACTTTTCCAAATAGGTAAATGAAATTCTATTTACCTTTACCAGTTAAAATGGTAGACCGGACCTAAACATTCCGGTAAGCTAAGTCTATTTATGTTAATGAAGATAACTGGTCTAAAATCTACTCATCCACGGGGAAAGAACGGTTTTTTGAGCTAAACTATCTAAAAATTTATCTAAAAATTATTTTGGACATTAAATTAATTATGGAGAACGCCCGAGCTTTGCTGGAATGTCAAAATTTCTTGCAACATTGCTCATTTAATTATACTTGAATGTCCAGCACAATTATTTTCAGATGTGTATTTCAATTTTTAGAAACTTCAGCAAAGCTCTTTCCTGTATAAGTAAATTTTTTAAAATTATATAATCCTGTCTGTAAGTTCAATTATGTTACACTCGAATGTCCATCATAATTTTCGATACTGTAGCAAAATCGTTCTGTACAAGTAAATTTCGCAAAACTATAATTCCGTCTATAAAGAAGTAAATCTCATATTAATCCTTTTCTACACGATGTAAACGCATTTATCTCGGTGAAACAAGTGTAAGATAAGCGCGCTAAGTAAATCTCGCGTGCTTTTGTGTATACTCCGCAGGAAATTGTCCTGCGCTCCAGCTTTCGAGCTGCATAAATCGCATCACCTACCGTGATCTTCAAGTCCCGCGGGTCGCATGTGTCGTATCGTCTACTGAAGCGGAGCACTGTGTGCGTCTTGTTCTCGTAACCCAGTAAGAGTCGGTAGTCCTGGCTCGAATCCATCTGCGGATCTCTGCTGGCGTCCTTCACGTGCCGGTCCTGGAAACGAGCGATGACTTAATGTTAAAATCCGCGCCAACTATACCATAAAGTACCATGCATTGTCGAGACTCTCTGCACACCCTCGCACGTACTCGCGACACTTTTCTTCTCCCGAAAAGTTGAGATCGTCGCAGTGTGAAAAGGTTACACGTCAAGAAAAACAAAATTCGAGACCGGAAAAAAATGTGCCCTCAACTTTTTATCAACTTTTTATTCAACTTTTTATGGAATATAAATTTTTTAACATTTCTATGAACAAAATGAGAAAAATATAAAAATACGCCGTCAGTAATTCTCGAGTTTTTACTACGAGAAAGTAATATCGACAATATCGGATGTTCCAATATTGGAACTTCATAACGAATGGATTAATATTGCTTCACATTTATTCGATGAATATTCAGCGAATATTCTAATATCAGATGACGCGTCGCATACGGGATATTAAACCGTTACTTAACGAATCATGACATGAATGCGGCCCATCGACACTTGCGGCAGGGGTCATCTTTCAATTCTAGACGTGTGCGAATGAGGAAGGCAGCTTTTTCTCTGACGAGCCAAGCGCTCGTCGACAAGCACCGGCCAATCTGCAGAGACGCATCACCGGCATGTAGTTAACCTGTCCTACTCGTTTCAAATTTATCCGCGGTACCGGTTCGTTACCGTTAGCAGTTAACAACTGATTGGTCATTGACTTCGTACGTAAATGAATAGACCCTGCACCATAATTTGCTCGATAATATCCGCGAGCGCGCGCGCCTTTACAAGAGCCACCTCGTTCGGTTTTGCGCGCGAATGACGCGAAATTGGATACACCTCTTGTAATAATAATCGATCCTCGTGTAACGACGACGATCGTGGGACCGACAAACGCTTTCCCATGCGTGACCACTTGCATTTACAGTTAGCCGACGTCAAGAACTGGCAACGCTCCTGCGATCTCGCGTGAAATACGAATTTATTACTCGGCCCGCCGGCGACACGCGTCCACATATGTTTTTTCTTTCCTCGCTAATTCACCTCCGTTTTTCACCAGCACGACTAATATTGCAAGACTGGTAACTTGGCATTCAAGTCAGGTTCTTCTTGATAATTGGTACATAAAATTCATATTACTTATCACGAAAATTATAGTGCCAACGGCTTTTCTTTCTTGCCAGCTGAGTGACTAGATAATAAACCTAGGGTAAACTAGGGTATTATGGCCATACGGAAAAGATGACCATAGGCCATAATTTCTCCAACAATTGATAAATAGTGCATTTTTATAGTCATTCTTAAAGATAATCAATATTTACAGTAGCTCATATGAGTACACTGTTCAAAATAACAATATTATAAATATTATCTAATATTTTTTCTTTCGACTATCTGCAAACTGCTAAAAACTGTTATAATGTCTAATAAATTACAGTTAAACTGCCATAATCAATATTACATACACAATAAAAGTACGTAAATTGCAAAGTGATCTATAATTAATACTTTTATTTTCACTATTTATTTATAAATACTATGGCTATGTTTCTTAATATCATGGCCATCTTTTCCCTAAAAATCAGATAAGATGGCCAATGCATACTTTGTAATATTTTGAAAAATTAAAGTTCTGTTAAGTATTTTCTCTTTAATTTCGATAGTATTTGTTACTTTAAGCTTCAGTGAAAGTAATATCTCAAATATCGTTAAAAAGTAACAAGAATAAACGTATGTTTTTTGCATTTTAAAAAATTATGGCCATCATACCCGAGTTTACCCTATATGGAATGTTTGCTGCTCACTATCTATTTTTTTTTTCTGATTTACATCGTGGACACTTATCTTGCTGCACTCCGATTTTTATTTTTAATTTTTTTTATTAAATAATTCATTTAGTCTTTGCCTTAATTTATCACATTGATTGAAAATCTTTCTAGTTGGATAAAATTCGCACGTACATGTAGCCTTTTATGTATACACTGCAAAAGTTTATGCAGACATTACCGTGCAAAACTTAATACAACGAAACATCGCCGAAGAAAAAGCCGGAAGGCAACACTATCGACACATCGCGCACTATGAAAATATTCACGAGCTTATTATAGCTGCTATTTTACGAGGCTACGTACTATGTTTAAGATATGCTCCACTAGAGATTCTAGAAAGGCAAGATGCTTTGAAGAACTTATACGCTTCCATTGTACTATAAATCCGGATATTGAGATTGAACAGATAAGTCACGTAATATCGACTACGGTTTCAGTAAAATTAATATTTTACCCTACTTAAAAAGCAGGCGGGGATTGTGATAACGATCGATGAAATAATGAACTCTCATGAAAGATATTCGATTAAACGTTCTTATTATTAGTTTTTAATTTTTCTATATACAGCTATTTGTATACTTGACCGTTGTATGCAGGGTAACAAAAAGTTTGGCTACAAAGTTTTGTGTGTTTGTCAAATCATTTATAGTAACGTCTATTTTAAAAAACAAATTCTGGAGTAAGATAGATTTAAAACTAACTTGAGCTCTCGAGATATTCAATAATAATAATAAACAATAAATTAACGGGTGAGAAAAATTGAGAGCCAGAAATAGGCGCAATTATTAAATGCGTAAAATAACAAAATATATTCTAAACAAGATCTTACATATCGCAAGAAATTTCACATAAATCAATGCATATACGAACATCCTTGACAAAATTAAGAATTAATTTAATTACAATCAGCTTCGTTTTTTTGATTTTCCACATAGAAATATAAGTAAAGATATTTATTGACTTAATTTAAGTATATTTAACATTATTTTGACTACCTACATGAAAATCTTAATCTATGACATTTAGTGACTCTGCGAAAGGCAATGAATATATTTCTTGACATATCTTTCATGTTTAGTGTTTTAAAGATCATTTCAATTCTATACTCTTCGCGAAACAGCTCTCTTTATTTATTGTTCCTCCTTGCGCTATGTGTTAATCAAAGTTTGCAGCTGGTAAGTTTCTTTAATTAATCATTATATTTATCATTTATTTCTTACCATTACTTAATGAAGTTATGTTGTAATTTCCAGTTCTTACTTGGCTTACCAGTTAATTGGCAATGTGGCTTCTCAAAATTTTGAATTGAAGAGACTCTCCTGGCTGCACACTTGGATCGTTGAGATGCGAATATTGACCACAACCATTGTTTGATATCGCTGATGAAGCCGAAGCGTCCAACATTTGATTGATTTATGTGAAATTTGTTTCGATTTAATGTAAGATCTTGTTTGGAATATATTTTGTTATTTTACGCATTTAATAACTGCATCTATTTCTGGCTCTCTATCGCCTGTTAATTTATTATTTATTATTATTATTGAAACTGTGAAATGTTAGTTGTATTTTATTATATTATAATATAAAAAAGTGAATCAAAAAGTTTCATCGATTGATGAATTGAAGCCCGTTCTATTGGCTACCTGAGAAAATTTATCTATAAAAAGATGCGCAATTGTTAAAGCTCCTAAAAATTATCGAAGCAAAAGGTAGCATTTTGAATGTTAATTATTATTTTTGGCATTCAATAAGGTATAACTGACACTTTAGAATTTATTTTTGTAAATATACATTACTAATGATTAGACAAAACTTTGAAATCAAATTTTTTATCATCCTGACTTATTTTATAATAAAACTTATGAAACGTTCACACTCTTTTTAACTTGTAAAGTCGCAATTTTTACTTTAATAATTTTTATTTTAATAATTTCTATTTGGATTCGGATTATACTTAAGCCCATGTCGCACTACGCATTGGAGACTAAGGATTGCGAATTAGAGATTAGAATACGACTAGCTAATTTTAATTTTAATCCCTTTCGTCCTGATTGGCTTAATTCTGACCTTCAATTCGCAATCCTCGACCTCCAATGTATAGTGTGACGATTGGGCTTGAGATGTTTTACTCTCATATTTTTGATATTAAAGAAAATAACCGGTGAATAACCAGAAAATGCTGAATAATCATAGCGGTGACTTTAAATTTTTGCTAATTATCTAACACGCTCGGTCGCTTTTGTTCCGAATACCATCGGGCCTTTTTATCGTACGCGCGCACCGACTTCTTGCGCGATGTCGATATTAGAATGCCATTCTATCGTCTTACAAAGAAACGGGCTGTTGCCGACAAAAACCAGCGGCGTCGCGCCTGCTTCGCCCTTTTCCCTCGCCGATCGAGTTTCTCGTTCGCGACGACGATCGTCGAACCGAGACGACTGCGAGCTCCTGTCGCAAGGGAGACAAAGGGCGAGAACGAAGGCAAAAGTTTAAGGCGAATTTACACGTAAATTTCTGACAATGTTGATCAAAATCATTCGAAAAGGGAAAGTAAAATAACTCGAGTAACCATTACTAAACCCTTTTGTCAAAGTTTTAATTTTTCACCCCTTTCCACTTTCATGTTTCACAAAGTTCCAGCTAAAAACGTAAAAGTGGAAATGAGATAAATCCGTGCAAAATTGTCCCTCGTCCAAAGGGTGGCAGTTTGAGGAGTCATAACGAAATTCACTGAAAAATATAAAAATTTTTACTGTTTAAAATTCAATATAGGTACTCGAGTATTCATGCATTGATAGAAGGGTTAAACAAAAAATTGTTGAATAATAAAAGAGTCGGCCGTTTTTAGCCAGTTTGAACGATCAACTAGGTTAAATAATGCAAAATAAAGCAAGCCGTGGAGTTTTATTCAGCTTTTTGTTTGATTCGATTTGTAGAAGCAAATTAGTCTAACGCAATCCGTGTTTCGCGCGCGATATAACGATTTTTTACACAATTAATTCCCTTTATTGCATTCGGACTGATCACGTGCAATAATGATACAAATAGCGAGTACCGCGTATTCGACGTGAGAAATTGTGGGTTATGAAACGCGGGAGGAAAGTTGAAAGTTGGAAGTTGAGAACTCAGAAAGCTGAGAGAGTTTAGGAAACCAACAGCTTACAGTCGTGAACTGTGAGTTTATAGTGG